GTTTAATGCTAAAAAACAGATGGCAGAGTTGATTGCAACACTGTGGAATATGCTGATTGCGATTTGCTGGGTAATTGAAAAAGCGCTGAAGTGCGGTGAATTGAAGCTAGAGTTAAGTTAGCAGGTGAAGCTTAGCAACAGTTATAGCAACGGAAAAAAACAACCGAGTGAACACATTACACAACTTTAACAGCATCATCAATATGCAGTAGAATTTATACTGATCCTATTAAACACTTCTTAGTTGTTTGTATCCATCCTCACGACAACCCTCAATGCACTCGTTCATGCAACTCTTATCCATCCGTATCGATTTTCACTCGCCTTTACTCCCCCTACACCATTTTATTCGTAAATTATAAAATATGCTTCACCACCAAGATTTTATCATTCGTTCGAATGAACGCAGCACTGCGACGTTCTCATTCCTGTTCCTATTCCCAATCCAGCATCGTCTCCTCCGTCAGTCTCTTCAAAACTCTCGCTCTCGCCTCGTTCTCGAGCATTGCCCAACATATCAACGATCAATTTTCAGAGTGTAGCTGGAATAGGCGCAATACCTCGTTTGCCTTATCGTATCATACAATTTCGCTTCATCTAATTCAGTTTGTATTCGCTTGTTCTATTCCATCCATGCTATGTGCAGTCTTCGTTCTGTTTCAGTCTTCACGTCACGCCTTCTTAATTCCATAAAATAGTCTCACAAAGGCAANCCTATGAAGGCTGAAATTTTCTCAGGAACAAATCTTCAATTCCAAAACATTCTCTAAGTAATAGTTATAACGATAAATTCTATTCGAAAAGCGTTTAAGACTCAACATTTACCATTCCCTTAACATAATATAAATTTCCGTACCGCATTCAATTCACTTATGTATTCATCTGCGTGCACTCAAACAATTTAACACTTATTTGCTTCGTTCCGATCCGAACGTGCAGAAAACGTCTTGCTTACGAATTTTTGTTGTTACTGAAGTCATATTCGAACTTGCTTAGCTGCTCACCTCACATCAGCACTCAGCAAAGAGTATAGCATTACCAGTTGCAACGATATTTGCTCGATGATGTCAAAACGACAATTCATCATCTTATGACGTCTCATTAAAGTTGTTGGTGAGATATCACAGGATATGTTGAGGAAAAGCTTTTTTATCCTGCAGTTTACAGCCTCAACTCTGCAATGAACCTCACCGTTATTATCGCAGCCCTCTGCACTTATCACTCAGTTGTATTCATCAAATCATTTCGATCGTTCTCTTCTTCTTTTCATTCGTCAAGTGGCTCTGAGTGAAATGAGATCTTAAGTCAGCACCTGTTTTCCAGCATCCCATCTATTCTTAATCTTGCACTGCTCAGCTATAAAAGCTTATCCTCAACATTCTTATAAACTCATTCTAAGACTACTTCTCCAGTCCAACATTTCCTTAGTGTTGAGTTGTTCTCTTGTATAGATGGGTGTTAGTTAGATCGTATGCACCCTCTTCAGCCTCATCTTTGTAGATAACACAATATTTGAAGGTGTACTTCACTTTGAACACTTATCAAATCAATGCTACTTCACAAAAATTTATTGTCGAATATTACTTAACGTGATTGTTAGATAAATCGTGAAGAAACAATATTTTATTTATTTGCTTCCATGATTTGAGTGAGAAACAATACATTGTTTCATTTGTTGAACGCATTTTCAACAATTAAATTGCAGTTTGCTGAAGCTTCCGATACGTTTCCAATGAAAGAGATTCGCCAGCAATCAGTAGAGCAGTTTCATAGCTCATCCCGATTTAATTTTTTTTTAAAATCTTTGGAATAACATTTGATTCGTTACGTTTTCTGACAATTATGGTAATCATAATATGAATGATAGTTTCTGTGTGTTCTTTATCATTTCGTACTGTATGCCAGTTTGATTTTGCGTTTGGAACATACACGAACATGGAATTAACCGAGTGAACTAATTTTTCATTTTAAATTCCATCCATATTGATGATGTTGAGGTGGGGTATGAATTTGGGAAATTTTTTAAATATTCCAGTCTAAATCAATCGATTGAATCGAGTTTTGTATTGCTTCACGTTGGGCAGAGGGTAAGACAGATTCTACTGAATTGCGGTCTTTGCACAGAAACAGGCATGAAAAGAACAGACCGTTGTGTTGTGCTTGTATGAATAATATTGAAGTGTTCGAAAATAATTGCAAGTGCAGTGAATAATAATGCAAAGAACTGGTTTCTGTGCTATTGCATGCGTTTACATTGGAGGAATTGTGGTGGTTAGTTTATTGTTTGGGTGCATTGCGGAGAAACGTAGCAATGTGAATTTGTGCTGAATCAAATATTTCGAGACTAATTCGGTTAGTCGTTTTCGAAACGTTCTCATTAGCGTTTCGCAATACAGAAGTTATTAATGTCGCGTCATCATCAGTAAATTAGAGAAAGAATTGAATTTTTTGATTAACATCTCATTGGAATATTAACACACTATTGAGGTGCGATTTTAGTTATGACGAGACTGTTTTTTTGCTAATATTTTTAATTGTAAAATATATTTTTCAGTCCCAAATTCTTGAGATTATATCACCAAATTTCACACTTATCACGATCTGTTATCTATGCTCAGTCACTTTCTGGTGCCTTAATGGCGTCACGTCCGTTTCTTACATGGGTCTCCACTCCAAAATGATTGCAGTGTTTTTGTTTTTTGACAGCATGTTTGCTTCTTTTGTTTTACGCCATTCTTTCGTCATCATCATTTCGAAATTTATCAGCGATGAGGAATTGGTGGTAATGGAATGCATTTGACAGTATAACGTCGCAGTTTCTCTGAGGTTGGCATCCTGGATTGTTGTTAGGAAGTAGCACTCAAGAATGAATTCTGAGAAGATTCACTGCTTGATGCTTTCTGTTAAGAATCCCAATCCGCACACCATACAACTATCTGCGAAGTATTTTCGATGACTTATGGCAGTGCAGTGTTTCACGTTCAGCGAATCAGTTCGATTTTAGTCACATCCTCCTGTGAATGTGTTCAAAATGCAAATGAGATTTCCAGTCTTCTCCATATGTATCTTCGTGTGTTTCAACAAATAAACTGTGCGCTCACATACGCAAATATCTCTACGTATTCTGTTTGTGGGAAGGATGGATGGATGGATGGATGCTCGAAAGCTTTTTTGCATTGCATCAGCTCGCCTACACTGAACGTGTGGATGGATGGATGGATGGATATATGTAATATCTCATCTCACTCGATATGCTGCTATCTCATTTTCAGTTCACTCTTCTCAATGCTCACGTACATCTATTTGAAAGCAAAAACACTGGTGTATTTAAGCCTAATGCTATGAGGCAGCCAGCATAAGAGTTTGAATGTAAATTTTCATCATCGCACTCACACACACA